AGTCCCTGGTGGCACTCTGTTAGTCCCTGGTGGCACTCTGTTAGTCCCTGGTGGCCCTCTGTTAGTCCCTGGTGGCACTCTGTTAGTCCCTGGTGGCCCTCTGTTAGTCCCTGGTGGCACTCTGTTAGTCCCTGGTGGCACTCTGTTAGTCCCTGGTGGCACTCTGTTAGTCCCTGGTGGCACTCTGTTAGTCCCTGGTGGCACTCTGTTAGTCCCTGGTGGCCCTCTGTTAGTCCCTGGTGGCCCTTGTTAGTCCCTGGTGGCCCTTGTTAGTCCCTGGTGGCACTCTGTTAGTCCCTGGTGGCCCTCTGTTAGTCCCTGGTGGCACTCTGTTAGTCCCTGGTGGCACTCTGTTAGTCCCTGGTGGCACTCTGTTAGTCCCTGGTGGCACTCGTTAGTCCCTGGTGGCACTCGTTAGTCCCTGGTGGCACTCTGTTAGTCCCTGGTGGCTGTTAGTCCCTGGTGGCACTCTGTTAGTCCCTGGTGGCACTCTTAGTCCCTGGTGGCACTTGTTAGTCCCTGGTGGCACTCGTTAGTCCCTGGTGGCACTCTGTTAGTCCCTGGTGGCACTCTGTTAGTCCCTGGTGGCCCTTGTTAGTCCCTGGTGGCACTCTGTTAGTCCCTGGTGGCACTCCGTTAGTCCCTGGTGGCACTCGTTAGTCCCTGGTGGCACTCTGTTAGTCCCTGGTGGCACTCTGTTAGTCCCTGGTGGCACTCGTTAGTCCCTGGTGGCACTCTGTTAGTCCCTGGTGGCACTCGTTAGTGCCTGGTGGCACTCTGTTAGTCCCTGGTGGCACTCGTTAGTGCCTGGTGGCACTCTGTTAGTCCGTGAAGTGTGTACAAATCAGTGTACACAAATTATGTTAGTGTGTATATTAAGAAATACAGACACCATCTCATCCCCATACATGAAAGTATAATGAAAAATATACACATGGAAGTGCAGTTATACACATGCAAAACTTCCAAGATACAATCCAGTCTTCATTGGTGGAATACAAGAATACTTATACATGTTTAACGTACACGGAGGAGATTTGTTAATGTATTTTTTGTTGTTGTATGAATAGCAGTATACATTAGAGGAAAACATGAATTATGTATTAAGAAACAAGGATTGTATTACATAATTAATATCTCACTTGTGTCAATTATTAAAATGTCAACATTGCGAAATGTATAAATTGATATTTCAAATTTTTGCTGAAGGGAGATATATATATATATATATATATATATATATATATATATATATATATATATATATATATATATATATATATATATCCTGACCCCTTCTCAGTGTTATATAGTCATAATGGCTTGGCGCTTTACCCTGATAGCTCCCTACAGCATTTTGTAACAGCATTTCTCTAAAAATAAAACTCTCCATATTATATATAGAAGACGCATATTGAAATAGGGCCCATTTAAAAGTTTAATTTATCAAACAAGTTTTGAATCTGAGGTGTAATACAGTGGCCGGGTGTTTTTAGTGTAGTTAGTGGTGCAACGGTCACTCTCTTTCCCGTTTTCTGTTAGCAGGTTAACCTTTCAGTGTCTTTCTATATCTCTACCTCTCTTTCTCTTCATATTTCTGCTTCTCTCTCTCTCTCTCTCTCTCTCTCTCTCTCTTTCTCCTCTCTCCCTGTCTCTCCTTCTCTCCTCTGACTCTCTCTCTCCTGAGAAATTCTCAGCCTGTCTCTTTGGGTTAATATTTTCTACTTAAGTAATATGAGGTGAAAGTAAGTGATGGAACTATCGCACTAAAGTGATGGAACTATCGCACTAAAGTGATGGAGCTATCATCCTATAGTGATGGAACTATCGCACTAAAGTGATGGAGCTATCATCCTATAGTGATGGAACTATCGCACTAAAGTGATGGAGCTATCATCCTATAGTGATGGAGCTATCATCCTATAGTGATGGAACTATCGCACTAAAGTGATGGAGCTATCATCCTATAGTGATGGAACTATCGCACTAAAGTGATGGAGCTATCATCCTATAGTGATGGAGCTATCATCCTATAGTGATGGAACTATCGCACTAAAGTGATGGAGCTATCGCACTAAAGTGATGGAGCTATCATCCTATAGTGATGGAACTATCGCACTAAAGTGATGGAGCTATCATCCTATAGTGATGGAACTATCGCACTAAAGTGATGGAGCTATCATCCTATAGTGATGGAACTATCGCACTAAAGTGATGGAGCTATCGCACTAAAGTGATGGAGCTATCATCCTATAGTGATGGAGCTATCGCACTAAAGTGATGGAGCTATCATCCTATAGTGATGGAACTATCGCACTAAAGTGATGGAACTATCGCACTAAAGTGATGGAACTATCGCACTAAAGTGATGGAGCTATCATCCTATAGTGATGGAACTATCGCACTAAAGTGATGGAGCTATCATCCTACAGTGATGGAACTATCGCACTAAAGTGATGGAGCTATCGCACTAAAGTGATGGAGCTATCATCCTATAGTG